TTCTGCGCGCATCTAAAAATGCGTAATGTTTTGTTGTTGTGTTTTAAGTCTTCTCTGTCGAGGGAATAACTGTAAACAAAATACAAAAAAACATAAATTAATGTAACACGGATGTGTATGTGGGGTGTGACTCAGAGTCTATGCTTCAGTCTCTCACATGAAGAACTCGGTGTTGGCCTGTTTCCCGGACGGGTCTCTCGTGTTCGTTCCCGCGTTGTAGGTCCGGCTGGCCAGTTTCTCGTACTTCTCCTTGTAAAGATCCCTCTCCTTGGCGAGGCGCGCCACGTCCTGCTTCAGCTGCTCCACCTGGCTCTGCAGGGTGCACTTCTCGGTCTCCAGCATGTGCCTCTGCTGGACGCGCTTGAAGCGGCAGGACTGCGCGTAGCCCCGGTTCTTCAGGGTGCGCCTCTTCTGCTTTAAGCGGATCACCTCCTCCTTGCTGAAGCCCCGCAGCTGCCGGTTCAGCTCCCGCACCGTCATGCTCACCAGCTGGTCGTCCGAGAAGCGGTCCTCCAGGCGGGCGTGGTGGCCGTGGTGGTGGTGATGGTGGTGGTGGTGGCCCTGGTGGTGGTGGGCCGCCGAGGCCGCGGACAGATCCTCCCCTGCATACTGCTGCCCGCGGAAGCCCTCGTAGGCCTGGTGGTGGTGGTGGTGGTGGTGCGCGTTCCCGATGAGGGCCTCCACCGCGTCCTCCGGGGTCAGGTTGAGCGCCTCCGGGTTGATGTGGTGCTGGTAGCTGGGGATCCAGTACAGGTCCTCCAGCTGAGGCTTGCCCGCGTTGCTGTGATTGTTGTTGCCGCTGCTGTTGTTGCTGCTGCCGCTGCTGTTGACCCCGCTGGTCAGGCTCTGGTTGGGCTGCGCTCCCGGGCTCGGTGCACAGAAACTCGGGGAGGAAGGCACGGAGGAGCAGGGTGTGCTGATCGGGGTGGAGGACAGAGAACCGGACGGGAGGCGGTGGCAGTAGCGGTCGGCCTCCGGCGGCTCCTTCTTTACCTCAAACTTCATCAGGTCAAAGTCGTTGACGTACTCGATGGCCAAAGGGCTGTTCGGCAGCTCTGCGCTCATGGCGAGGTCGGTTGCCATGTCAGTCCATGCGACGACTCCTGCTCTAACAGCCAAACCGACGGCGGGCAGCCCTCTGGGATACAGATTGCGAGGAGGAATAAAAGCCCGTATGCTATATATATAGACACACACACGCGGGGTGCGTGGGGCTGCTGCAGGCTGAGGGGTGGGTGCACAAACTTATTAAGGCTGCTCGCCTCTAAGACAACTTCTATATATAGTGGCGTGAATATACGTATGCATGTAAATGAACTTGTACACCTGCCAGTTTGCCTCCGCGCGCAGCTCTTGTTGACAACTTATCCCAGGTCAAATGCACGCTTTAATACCAGGAGCCCCCGGGGCGGCTGAAACTCGAGCCCGCTGAATTTGGAGACACCAACCTGTCTTGTCCTCGCTTCACCTCAGCAGACCACTTTGCCTCCTGCTGATTTACTGTCCTCGCTTCTGTTCGAATCGAGTCACACGTAAAAGGTTTCGGCGTGTTTAGAAATATTTTCCCAGCATCCTTCTTCGCCTCGTAGCTGTTTACAACTTGATCTCGAGTCCCAGGTATAGCGGGGGGGCTGGGAGTCACTGCAGCGTGGCCCGGTGTGAAAGTTTCCCCACACACAGTCAGTCTTAGGACGCTGCGTAAAACGTGCGTAAAAAGTGTTCCAAAAAAACCAAACTCCTGGGTATCCAAAGTGGAATGGCTTGTGCATAAGTTTTCAAAGTTGTCATGCATGTGAGGTTGATCTGAAGCTGCAGAAAGAGCTCCTGCTCATAGGGACAGGAGAGTCTGGTCCCCCTTGGTGTTGTGGTCAGTCCGGATGTTTGGCTCAAGCAGCGGATTAGTGACAGCTTCGGTCCCCGCGGTCCTCTCCCCCCTCACCGGGGTGCGTCGTTGAAGACCTTACGTGTGATGACTCTGTGTGTATTATTATGCAAGAGGTGATAAATTCCACTTGGTTTTCTCTCTTAACACTCAAACTGTTTCTGAAAAAGCTTCTCGTTGCAGCCACGCAGTGTCACTGAGACGCTGGAAGGCACCGTGCTCTTATAAAGACAGCGTGGCCCCCGACCCTCCCACACAGAGGTGTGACGGGCCAATGGCAGGAGACCACAGGAAGTGCATTTGCATTCTCCTATAGCAAAAAAAAAAAACCCGAGGAAAGCCGAGCGGAGCCGAAGTGAGGAGGATCGCGCAGGGGGAGAGAACAGGTGCAGCAGATCCCCCCCTCTAGTGACCGAGCAGATGCTACTGCAGCGCGGAGTAAGACGAGCTCCGGCGGTTTCTCACAGAAACATGTTTACTGGGAACACAGAAACACTTTCCCCCATTTTTCAGGAGTGTGTGTCAGTTATGTAATGAGTCTCTTTGAAGACTCAAAAAAAAGACTTCTGAGCTGATTATTCAAATGTTTTATGCATTCTTTTAGGACTTAAAGGTGGAAATATTTGAGACTATTTGGGGTCACAAAATCACTTTTAAGAATATGACATTTTTAATCTGTTGAATATTTGAATCAAACAGCAGTACACGTCCTATATGTAACTTTTACCTTATTTTGGCTAAATAATGACCCTAATAATAGTATACAGTATAAGCGTAGGACAAATGCAGTGGGCTGTTGTGCAATGATGGTGAATGTCAGTGTGCTAAAACCGTAACAAAAAAAAATAGTCCATAAATTTGTGAAAATAAGCGGGTAGAGAAATTAAATTAAATTAAAACTTGAAAAACTGTAAAATACAAACAAAAATAATAAAGTATGAATCAAGATCAAAGTAGTTTCGTGCACGTGATTGTGTAAAGTTTGTGAAATCTCAAATTTAATTCCAGATGTGATGAAATGTGTCAGAATCATAAAGTGTCCGTCACCTTTATTAAAAACAGCTTACTGCATCCACTTAACTCATCCGGGTCTCTTAACCAGGAGCCTGAAGATGATTCTGACAACACAAACTACCAGATCTATCAATACTGATCGATGAAAGTCCCCCCCCTCTCTCTGCCCCCCCCCCCAAAAAAAAAAAAAAAAAAAATCAATGCGCATTTCCGTGAGGATGTGAGGAGGCCGCGCTGTCGGGTTTTCATTCGCAATTAACCACAAATTGCATCCCGTCTCATCTCCGAGGATCGACGGATAATTAAGTCTCATTTTCTTTTAGAGAGAGAGAGAGAATGGGGGGGGGTTAAGGGGGGTGGGGGAGGTTGGGCAGGATGTCGATGGGTATCATGGGAGCAGGACTTAAACCGGGACCAGCTCTGCACCTGACCCGTTTAGCCTCCTCAGCAGCGGCTGCCCCCCCCCCCCCCCCCCCCCCCGGAGTCCCATCTATAGCAGCAGATATGTGAGTGATATATCTGCGGATAAAGTGCCGATCTGCAGGTGGCAGGAAGTTTAACTTGGTCAGATGTGAACAGGAAAACCTTGCGCAGCTGCTGAGCTTAACTTCCAGTCCGAATGGCCATGAAATACGCCCCCCCCCCCCCCCCCCCCCTCAAATCTGCTGTCGAGGATGAAAAGAAGAGAAGGGACGGAAATCATATGGAGGTATTTGAAGTCATTAAGAGAGTTTTTTTTTTTTTTTTTTATCAAATAAGCAGGAGCTGGACTTTAAACGCCACGCGAAGCATTCTGCATTGAAATGAAACCTTTAAGAAGATCTGCTGTGGTCCATTCATTGTCAGGGGGAAGGGGAGGGGTCTGCGGCCGAGGGCTTGAGACATGAATTTTTGAAGTCAGGGTTTTCATTGTTTCCTTTTGCATATTGAGACTTCGCTGTAAGTGCACTTCTACCGATTTAAGCAAAACGGACATCAGCAAGGTGGAGGATCGACGGCGCGTGCTTTGAGCCGGCCGTGAGGTAGACCGGCATGGAGATCCTAAAGGAAGCGGCTCCAGGAGGGGGCTCAGGGTTATCTGAGGCCTGGGAGGGTTTTTTCTTTTTTGTTATGGCAGTTAAGCCACTAATGCCGCTGTGGAGGAATCAGCTGTAATTGTGCAGAGATGTGACATGCGCGCGCGCACACACACGCACACGCACACACACACACACACACACACACACACACACAGTGAAGTTAACAGGGAGGCTTACTTTAGAGCACATGTCTGAGGCCTGGTGTTGTAAAGAAATCATGTTTGTTCACCTGAGTGATTACAGATTTTCAGTAGTTTTGATGTTTCTTTCTTTTGGGGTCAAAAAGGAACTTTTTAAAAGTCATTGATGAGATATAAGAACAGGGAGACATCGCTAAAGATGTGGATGTACATCACACAAACAATCAGACGAGTTTCCACCAACATACACAAATCTTTGACAAACACACTGAACAACAGCACAGAAGCCAAGAGGTCAGAGGTCAGATGAGCTGCTCAGTTATTCTGCTTTTGTCTCTGAAAGAGGAAAAATGAAAGTTTGGATGAGAGGCAGGATGTTAAGATGAGTGAATCACTGCAGAGAGCAGAGGCAGAACTAAAACTTAAAGCTTAGAACAAAACAACAGGTACACTCATGTCTCATTTTCAGCAGATGCTATTTCCTTTTTTGGTCGGTTTTTGTTTTTAAAGTCCAGATTTTCATCATCAAAGTGAAACGGAATTGAAAACTTGACCCATTCTGTGAGAGAACGTTGAGGTAAAGGTAAGATTGAGAATGAATCTAAACCAAATGTCATTGATCGTGAAGTTTCATGTTGCAGTATGCAGTGTTTCCCCTAGGTTTACAGCTTTTGGGGGGGGGGAATCTTGGTGTTCATGAGTTACTTTTAATGACAGCTGTCCTGTTCTATCAGAAAGGTATCCTTAAATGACTTCTTTCCCTGATTTCCGACTCTATCCACTATTCTATCTCGACAATAAAGGCACCAAAAATCTTAAAAAATAAAAAAATAAAAAAAATTGTTTATGTTTTTATTAACTTGACCTTCAAGGGGGGGCGGGCCGCTCTCCTAATATAATGGTAGGGGAAACACTGCGTATGAGTTTTATTTGCCTCCTCTCAAGTCACTCTGAAGTTTCTGTTGATATGAATTTTAAATGAATACAGGAATGTGTTCACACTCGTGTGACTGACAGCGATCGGAATAAGTTTCCTTTAAATCTCTGTTCCTCGTCATCGGTCCACTTATTTAAACATGTTTTGTTTTCTCATCTTCAAACTGATTGTTTATGTTTTCAGTAACGTCAACACTGTTTATTTCTCTCTATAGACTGAATCTCTCTCCTCATGTTCTCTGTGTTGTCCCTTGTTTTGTTGTTGTTGTTGTTGTTGTATGACTTTGTTTGTTTGGTCTGTAGTGTGTTTTGTTGTTGTTGTTGTGTTGTTGTGTTGTACCTGTGTCTTTGTAAATATCTGTTTGGGACCCCTTGAAAAGAAAACGAGGCGATACGCCTCAAGGGGCTTATGCTAATGGGGGGGGGTCATCTACCAAAGGGGGGCCAGCAGAAGAAGTTTGGGAATCACCTACTGTGGACTGAGTACAAAACAGAGAATCAAATTAGAAAAAAAAGTTGAACTCTCCAGATGCAGAGCAGAGACGAGTTGTAGCTTTTTAAAGGAATTAAAAAACATCCCGTCGATCGTGATTTCTTAATAAAGTTAATAAAAGCTTGTGTGACTCTTTGCACTCTTACCTGTCCAAAGAAGAGTTAAACATTCAAGTCGCTCTCTGCTCCTGACCAGACAGTCATCACTGATCCACTCCAACAGGAAGAGGCTCCAGCTGGATCAGAACAGAGCTGAAGACGAGATCACACACTGAGATGACTTTAACGCAGGAGTTCAGCCGCTCTGTGAAATGTTGGATCATTTTTTGACACCTGTTAACAAAAAGTTTGATCATGTGACGTTCATCTTTCTTCATCTTTATGATTTCTCACCTTTGACTCCACATCTGAAGAGTTTCACCTCTGATGACGTCGATGTGATTTTATCTGTCAGTCGTTATTTAGTGATCGACTTTCTGATCAAAAATTACACAAGCATGAAAATCTACTCCTCCATCTCTGTTTATTCATCCATTATAGAAAAATAAGAGAACACAGACACACACACACACACACACACACACACAGACACACACACACACACAGACACACACACAGACACACACACACACACAGACACACACACACAGACACACACACACACACAGACACACACACAGACACACACACACACACACACACAGACACACACACAGACACACACACACACACACAGACAGACACACACACACACACACAGACACACACACACACACACACACACACACACACACACACACACACACACACACACACACAGACACACACACACACACACACACACACACACACACACACACACAGCTGATGAAGAATCACAGTTGACCTCTCTCTGAGTCTTCGTGGACAAATGATTTCTCTCCTCTGTCTTCTCTCCGTCTCGGCCGCTTTTACTAAAAATTGAAATATTGATCTTAATTAGAGTTTGCCGAGCTCAGCAGCTCGTGTTGAGGGTTTGAGACAAGAGGCAGCAGACATCTGTCTCAGGCACTTATGTCTTCAGCGCAGGAGAGGAGCAATGTGAGTGAAGACAAGGAGGAGGATGGGGGGGGGGGGGTGAAGGGGGGCGTGTGGTGAGGAGAGAAGAGTGATGGCTCCCTGTCTCCTGCCTTTTCTCAGAAACATGTCGAGCTCTCCATCTCTGCTCGCTGCTGTCAATACATCTGAGAGAAAATCGAGTTGAAGCAGTCACACACACACACACACACACACACACACACACACACACACACACACACACACACACACACACACACACACACACACACACACACACACACACACACACACACACACACACACACACACACACACACACACACACACACACACTCTGACAAAATGTGTTCAACACAGAGAACATGAACTAAACTTTTACATGTTCTGCACAATCCTCACCTCACCGATCGCCCCCCCTCCTCTCTCTCTTTAGATCGTGTTTCCCCATCATGCTG